AAAGAGGTATTTTAATTAATATTGACAATAGATGAGTTGTTTCTTATAATCCATATCTAAGTCAAAAATATAATTGTTATATTAATGTAGAGATATGCTCAAGCATAAAATCTGTTAAATATCTTTACAAGTATGTTTATAAAGAATAGGATAGAGTTTTAATTTTAATTCAAAATCCAAAAAATAAAATTAAAAAATATTTAAATGCAAGATATGTTTCTGCTTTTGAAAGAATTTAGAGATTATTTAATTTTGGATTACAGAAGAGATTTCATATAGTTGAAAGGCTTTCTGTTTATTTGCCTAATCAACATACTGTAACTTTTCATAAATCTAATAAATTATCATCTGTACTTAACAAAAATGTATATACAAAATTAATAAGATATTTTGAATTATGTGCAAATAATCCTAATAATAAAGAAATTCAACAATTAAAATATATTGATGTTCTAAAAAAATATATTTGGGATTAAAGTAAAAATAACTGGTAAAAAAGAAAACAGTGTAGTGATAAAGTAATATCTAGATTAAATTTTGTTAATCTAAAAGATAAAGAAAGATATTACTTGAGAGTACTATTAAATATCTGTAGTAGAATAAGATTATATGATGACTTAAAAACATTTAAAGATATTACCTTTAATATTTTTAAAGAATCTGCTTTTTATGCAGATTTAGATAATAGTAATAATAAGAGTGATACTTGCTTTGCTGAAGCAATTACATATTGCTTCAATTTTAGTTTACTGTTAATCTATAACAATAAAAACTCTTTAGGAAAAATATAAAAATTATTTAATTGAAGATTTTATTAAAAAAGAAGATAATTTAGATTTAGCAATTACAAAAGCATTGGCTCAAATAGAAAAGTTTTTAATTCAGAATAGATTAACTTTATTTAATTATTCAGACCTTCCAATACCTGATTATTCTTTACTTGAAAATAATCAACAACCTGATTTAATTACTGAAGAATTAAATTATAATTAAGATGAAATTAATCAAACTTTATTAAATCTTGATAAATTAAATAGTAATCAGAAATTAATTTTTGATACTATAATTAAATCAATTAATAGTGAAATTAATCAAAAATTATTTTTTGTTGATGGACCTAGAGGAACTAGAAAACATATTTATATAATATAATCTTAGCACATATAAGATCATCAAGTATTTTAAATAGAATTGCAATTGCTATAGCATTATCAGGAATTGCTACTTCATTAATGAGTAGTAGAAGAACTGCTTATTCAAGATTTAAAATTTCATTACAAGTAACTGAAAATACTATATTAAATATTGAAAAGCAATCTGATTTAGCTAAATTAATTCAAGATGCTAAAGCAATATTATAGATAAAACACTAATGCTTAATAAATTATTATATGAAGCAGTTAACAGAACTTTTAGAGATATCACTGGAGTTGATAAACCATTTGGAAAAAAAATAATAATTCTTGGTAGTGACTTTAGCAAAATACTTCCTGTTATTATTAGAGGAACTAGAGAAAAAATTGTTGATTCATATTTAAAATTTTCTGTTCTTTAGAAACATTTACAAACCATAAAATTAACAATTAATATTAGAGTTCAGCAACAAAATGATCCTGAACAAAAAAATTTTGTTAATTTTCTGTTACAAGTTGGTGAAGGAAAAGTATCTGTTTATTTTGATATTGGTGATGACATTATTAAATTGCCTGATGAGATTGTTTTAAATAGTGAAGACATTAATGATTTAATACCAGAAATCTTTAATAATATTCTATCAAATTATAAGAATAAAGATTATCTTAAAAATAAAGCAATTTTTATATCAAAAAATATTGATGTTGAAAAAATTAATTATCAAATATTAGATAAAATATCTGATGATGAAGATAAGGAAAGAATTGAATATTTATTAGCAAATTCTGTTGAAGATGAAGAACAAGTGGATCAAAGTCTTTATCTAATTGAATTCTTAAATATATTAATACTAAGTGGAATGCTACCTCATCAACTTATATTAAAAAAGAATGCTCCTATTATTCTTTAAAGAAATCTTAATTCAACTAAAGGATTGGTTAATAGTACAAGATTAATAGTTAAGGAATGTTACCATTATTTAATTGAAGCTAAAATATTAACAGGAATAAATCAAGGAAGTAGAGTCTTTATACCAAGAATAAGATTATCTCCAAGTGATACTGATCTTCCATTTCAATTTGTAAGAAAACAATTTCTAATTAAATTATCTTTTGTAATGCCTATAAATAAAGCTCAAGGTCAAACAATTCCAATTATGAGTTT